TTTCATTCTATTCTACGGCTGCATATTTCAATATATATATTTTCAAGCTTTGGATAAAAACAAGTTCACTTTAGGTGTTTTCATAGATCTAAGTAAGGCGTTCGACACAGTTGATCATAGTATTTTAATTAAAAAATTAGAGAACTACGGTATCAAAAATATTAACATAGCTTGGTTTAAAAGCTACTTATCTAATAGAAAACAGTATATTTCATTCGGCAATAAAAAAACTAACAATATGACAATTACTTGCGGCGTTCCTCAAGGATCTATATTAGGACCACTCTTATTTTTAATTTATATTAATGATTTAAGCAAAGCCTCTAATATTCTAGATTCTATCTTATTTGCTGATGACACAAATTTATTTTATTCTCATAGTGATATAACAGCATTATTTAAAACGGTCAACATTGAACTCCTAAAACTAACCGAATGGTTAAATATGAACAAACTTTCAATTAATTTAACTAAAACTAAATATACTATTTTTCATCGCCTCCATAAAAAAGAAAAAATTCCTCTTGAACTTCCAAAACTTATTATTGGAGATTACATTGTAAAAAGAGAATGTTCGATGAAATTTTTAGGTGTAATTCTAGATGAAAACATAAATTGGAAAGACCACATAAACATGATTGAAAATAAAATTTCTAAAAATATTGGATTACTCTATAAAGCAAAACCATTCTTAGATCAATCCTGCTTGAAATACATATATTACTCATTTATACATTCTTATCTTAATTATGCAAACATTGCTTGGTGTAGCACCAATAAAACAAAGATAAAAAAGCTATTTAGCAAACAAAAACATGCAATTAGATTATTATCAAATGCACACCGCCTCTCACATTCAAGACCATTGTTTTACAATCTAAAAATACTAAATGTGTACCAAATAAATATATATCATCTTCTAATTTTTATGTATAAAATTAATAACAATTCAATACCAAATATCTTCAAACCATTATTTAATAAAATTCAACACAAATACGTAACTAAATATTCTAACAACAACTTTGTTCAACCCAAAACTATATACGACTCCACCAAGTTTGCAATAACTGTTAGAGGACCTAATGCATGGAATAAGATAATCAGTAATGATATTAAAACACTCAAAACTCTTGATCAGTTTAAACAAAAACTAAAACTATTACTTTTAAATAATGAACAAACAGATAATTATTTTTAAATCTATCTATAAAAATATTATATATTAAAACTATCTACTAATGCATACTTTATTTGTCTGGAAGGTCTAAATTCTTTTATTTTATATAGGTATTACAGTCTGTTATATTATAAAAAAAGTACTTATAAAGATTTTTAGCATTTTTAGATTTCATTAGTTTAAATAAATTTATTAGTTTTCTTAAATAAGAGAGAGAGAGAGGAAAAATAAAAAAAGTAATCTTTTTTGAGTTTTAATTTTTTATATTAATATTTTGTAATTTGTTTTTGAGGAATTAATATATTACACTTTATAAGAGCAGATTGTAAATTAAATTTTACGTTTACTTTTTTCATGTTTTTTTGTTTTTTGATATTTTTGTTTTTCTGAATGAACTTTTAAATTTTTCTTTCAAAAAATAAAATCGAAAAAATATCTTTCAAAACTTTGAACTATTAAACTATTTGGCATTTTATATAAACTTCTTTGTAATTTTTTGCTTTTTTCTTAATTTTTTAATTTTCATTTTAGTTACCATGTATTTATATAAATGTCTAGACAAACAAGGGACTTGGTGATAAGACAACCCCGTCTTCTTCTCGTCCTTGCCATTTTTAAATATTTTAAATTACGGAACTTGTAATTATTTGTACGGCTAAATTATATAAAAAAAAAAAAAAAAAAAAAAAAAAAAAAAAAAAAAAAATACAATAATATAGCCGTATCAAAAAAAAACTTAATTTAAAAAATACAACCATTTATGTTAATTAAAAATCATCTAATAATACAAATAAAAAAATAATTTTATTTATGTGATAATGTTAAATCTTTAAGAGGTTTTGGAGGTTGAGTTGAGTTGTCACTTGCGCGGCACTTTTTAATGCAATAAAACTCAGTGCTTTTATACATTTCTTGGGAATAGATGTATGACAAAGCCAAACCTTGCATTTGGAATTTTCGGTTTGATATCATTCACTTTTTTGACTTGCTTAAACTTTTCTAAAAACATTAGGACACTTTTATACTTGACTTAGTTTGCTACTGCTGTTGTTGTTGGAGATGGTGTTGTTAAAAGATTTATCTGCTGCTCATCATCAAGGTCAAATTTACGTCAAGATTACGTTGTTTCCTAGCCTGATTTGCTTTATTTTTATTGTCTTTCGATTTCCATCTTGCTGAGCGAAAACAAACCAGTCTTTTGAAACCCAGAGTGACTATTTGCGTGCATGTAAAAACTTCAACAGAGGTTTAAATGCTGAAACTTGAACAGAATGTTTTTCTTGCAATTTACTAAAACATCCTTTTGACAAACTGCTGAACTTTGTCTTTGCACAAAACTCTTAAAGTAATATGATATTATGTCAAATTTTGAATCCACCCCCCCCCTCCCTCCTATACAAAGAAACTACGCACAAACTTAGCCTAATTTTTCGTTATTAAAGCAATGAAACTCAAAAAAAAAAAAAAATTGTTGACGTCAACTTTAATTGACCTCCCCCCTCCCCCGTGTCAACAATTGTCAAAAAAACCCTGTGTTGTGATATTATGAAACTGTGTTGTGATATTATAACTCTGTGTTGTGATATTATAACTTTTTGTTGTGATATTATATAGCGTTGATTTGTTTTTTATAGCATTATCTGTTTGTTTTGTATCTAACAAAAACAAGAATGTCTTTCATGGTTGAAGATTATCTAAATTTAATAGTTACCCATTTTTAGACCATAATTTTTTGAATAAATATTTATTTATAAAATTTATATTTAATTCATGAACATTCTTATACGACAAAAAATTGTCTAAAAAACTCACTTCCAAATTTAAATTAGGAGAACTCTCTGTAAAGAAATTTAAAAAAATTTAATTTTAGAGGAAAGACTTTAATAGATTTTTTAATACTACTTACATTTAATACAAAAATTTGCTGCAATAGCGGGTCCGACTATGTTTACAATGCGTTTGTGCACCTTACCTAAAAGAAAAAGGGCATTGTGATTTATTGAGAAAAAGAATAGATTCCTAAATAAGAAAGTAGCAAGCACGATAAAGAGATGCAACCCTATCAGATGCTTATGTTGCCATGGATTTGATTTGTAGTTACCAAGAATATCGGAAATAATTTTTGTATCTTAAAGACAGAAACGTATCGATGGGCCCGCAGCCGTAGGAGGGCCTAGACTTATTAGGGGCCTAAGCCAAATTTTTCAAATACATTTAATAACATTTTTACTTTTATTGTATATTTAAGAATTAGAAATTCTTAGCTATACAATATGTAACATACTTGTTTCAATTAACTTAAATCAAAATTGTATTTAAAAATAACGCTTTTTGTTTTTATGTATAATTTTTTTTTGTTTTGAGGGGGAGGGGAGAGAAATAATTTAGGATTAAAATTTTAAGAAAAGGCCTATTTTTTGTCGCCAAGCCACTGCTTAAAGGCCAAACGAAGATGTACATTGCCGTTCATAATTTTAGGAAGATCTTGATTGTTGTGATAACTATTAGTTTTACTTGAGTTAAAAATTATCAGCCACGGAGAGGCAGACGAAACTTCTTTATAAAATTAATTATATATTGGTGCAGGTTAAACATTGTTTAAAAAACGCACTAAAAGAAATAGGACGTGACTATTTATACAAATAAAGACTTTTAAAAGCTTATGTCCTATTTAAGTAATGAAAAATGACAGTACCCCTGCAGTAAAAGTGAGGCGGTTTTGCGTTTTTCTTATACTGCCGATATTGCTGGCTTTAATATTTGAATTAGTTTTAGCAATATTAGTAATTCTAAAACCAGCGGAACTATCAGTAAAAACCCGACGGGCATTTGTCTTTAAAAGTAACGTTCTGAATGTGTTTTAAATGTCTTTTAAACGTCTTTTAAACATTAATGTTTAAAAGACGTTTAAAAGACATTTAAAATACATTTAGATCGTAACTTTTAAAAAGAAATGCCCGTCGGGAAAAGTTAGAATATCCGCATCAATTTTAGTGCAAAAGTACCGACATTTTTATTTACCTAAATTATTACTTAAAGTTATTATCAAATATATCAATTTTAAAATTATTATTAAGTTTATTATCTTTGGACGAAATTGTCAACTGTCCTAAACTTATTTAATGCTCTGGCATTTTTACATTTGCAAAAAACCGATGTGTTCTGCCTACATGACTTTTAGCATTTTAATATATATAAATAAATATAAGAAACTTTCAAATTTTTTTTTTTAAGTAAAATTTAATTTTTTTAAAAATAATTAATATATAAAAAAGTTTAATCGAAATAAAACCTAATGTCTGATTTACTATTAAGCAAAAGTTATATGAATTTAACTTTCGAACAAAAAAACTCCAAACAAAAAATTCTGCTAAGTTTCGAATTTTTTTGTTTCGTTGTCAACAAAAATTTAAAAAAAAAAATGGTGATAAATACTTTAAACTTTATTAAATTATTGAAGTATTAAATACTTTAAACTTCAAAAATAATTGATATTAGCATAAATGTGATTGTGTGCAGAATATAATTTTATTTTTTTAAATATAAAATTAAATTTCATCAACTTTCAATAAACCTGAAAACTCATGTACCACAAATATAATTATATATTTAATAGTTTATGTAATTACTATTTTAATTAATATATTTTAAAAAGAAGTAATTATAAATATGAATAATATAATAATATAATATTGAACTTTTTATTTAAATCCAATATATTTAAATTATTTCGTATATTTAAAGCAAATATATTTATAAAAAAATAAATTAAATAATTTAATTTTTTATTTCTTTTTACTATTTAAAAATACATTAAATATTTCATTTATTATTTTATAATTATTGTTTTTATTTTATATATTTAAAATATTAAACATTTTCCCGCGTTATAAAGTTAATTCATCGAGGTTACGAAAATATTTTCCACGGTACTCGATCTCAAACTTCTTGATGTTCGAACAACGAATCAATTCACAAATGTCTTTAAGGAAATCAATGTCGTCGTGAAGTTGAAGAATTAAATATTTTTCACAAAGATTAATCCAAGGAAAAAAGTTTTCTTCAAAATCTTTTTTTGTTATTAAATAATCTGAGATCCATATCATCAACCATTCAATCTTATCTTTCGGTTTCCATCCTTCGAAATTAATTGGACGAAAAAAGCAGACATTGCGAACATTAGTTGAACATCGAATTAAAAGATTTTTTTCTTCATCACTTAAAATATTTTTATGAACACGTAACCACTCTAACTTTCTTCCAGATTTTATGTAATAATTTACGAAATAATTATCGCAAGAAGTTGCGTAAGAAGTTTTTCCATCGTGAATCGAAATCTTCCAACCACCAAACCTTTGTTTATTTTGTTTATCAACAATTGATTTTATTTCATCAGTGAATGACGATTGACTTTCGTAAAAACATTCGTAGAAATCAACAGAAGAAATAAAAATAATACTTTTACTTAGACGATCTAAAGAAAAATTAAATGTGAAATATAACAATAAACAAATAAATAAGAAACAAAAAATAAAATAATAATCAAAATTGTGATATTATACATATAATATTATTATTTTTCTATATACAAATATAATTAATACACTATAATTAAATAAAAAATTGAATACATTTTCATATTATTAATAAATATATTATATTTATATTATAATATAATAAACATAATTACATTAATAATAAATGAAATTATATATAAAACTTAATAAAACTTTTAAACAAAATAACTTCTTAATAAAAATTATAAAAAATATACTAATTTTATTATTTTGAACATAATTTTTGTATTAATAAATTTTATTATAAATGTTGTGTTTATAATTTTTAATAACCAATAACATACATATATAAAATATATTTTTTACTTAAAATAACATAAAACAGATTAAAAATATGTTTAACTTGGAAAAAATGCTTTATTTATTTATATTGTCATTCGTTTATATTTATTCATATTCGTTATATTTATTCATATTTGAAATAAATATCATCATTTTTTATATAAGAAGATAAAAAGGAAAACCTGTTTTATTTATATGCAAATTTGTAAAGAACTCAATGTATTTATAAACCGAATTCCTACAGAACTTGTTCAAATTTAAAATTTGCATCGAAAATCTCCTTCGACGATCTTTTTTAAAATAAGTTATTAAATAAATATGAAAAAACGTCAAAGAGTGAGGGTTCAAATATTTGGTGATTCGATTTCGACGTCGATTTGAAACTTTGAAGAAAATCAATAAAAATTTGCAACTTTTATACAACTTATAAATTAAATTTTGATGCAATTAGCGCTTCTTGAATAAGGCTACAAAATATATATTATTAAAACATAAAAAAAAGCAACTAACGCAGCTAAGAAGAACCAATAATCTATTCAATCAAATTTAAATTTTTATACAAATTATATCGAATGCATGTTTTTTGGATAGACAAATAAAATTTTGTTTTAAAATTTTGTAATTCATGTAACATTTTAAAGAAAAGTTTTACTTTCACTATCATATTATAAAATTAATATTTCTCTTTACGAGTGATCAAATGAACACAAGTTCTAATGAGAAAATTTAACTTACGGTGAGAAAATAAAAAAAGCTACTAATGGCAATAGTGTCACAGGAGTATTAAAACTTGGACGAACTGTCGATTTACAAATTATTGAACTATATTGTGGGAATATTTTACATGTTTATTAAATCGAATGAAACGAATAAAATTAAATTCGCTTGAAATTACAGTCTTAGAATAGAATCAGCTTATATCTTGAAATCAAATTATTATCAAAAATATTAAATCTTAATATTCTTAGCATTTTTTCTTGCATTTTTTTTGTTTAAAAAAATTCACTGAATATATCAACATAATAAACAAAAATGAAAAAAAAAATTGTTTTCATAATTATATTCAAGAGGTCATTGTCGTCGTATCGCCATAAAACAATTCGACTTTAGTTCCAAAACATAAACTTTTTAAATGAAAAGAAAAAATTGATTATAAAACTGTACTTACAAAATTTAAAAAGTTTTGTTACCAGTGTGAATTTTAATAAACAATGATAACAAAATGATACCGTAAAGCATTTTAAGAAAATAAATTGAAAAGTGAGTTTTATAAATTTAAAACTCGATCATCGAACTTCAAAAAATCTTTTAATAAATTCGAAAAAAACAGTAAATATTGAAAACAAACGTTTCGCTTATAATATGATTTTGTAACCATCGCAACCGATTTCCAAATGCACAATAGCGGTAGCAGGTTCTTAAAACGAAAAGATTAAAACCGAAAAAACCTTATTATAATTTTACATACAACCTACTTTTTAAAATTGTTATATAATTTTTGTTCCTACAGCCCCGGATCATTGTAACTAAAATGGAAAACAATAAGCCATCAAAAAAAAAAAAAAAATTATATTTAACTGTATTTTTTTATCAACTGCTTTTTAAAAGATATGGTCGTTCCACTAAAAAAAAAAAAATTAAAAGAGTGCCGATTTAAATGTAAATGTTTTTGATAAGATTAAACTCTTAACAAAAAATTGCTGCACTTTTAATTATATTAGCAAATAAAAAATTATTTAACTGTTAAAAAAATTATTACACTAAATTGCTGAATGATAATTTTTATTTTATGTAATCAATTATACTTTATATATCAATTACTTTGATATATTATTCACTTTTATTGTAGAATTTTTATTTGTTGTAATAATTCTTAAAATGCCTGCATTCTATTACAAAAAGATAATATATAACTGTTTTCATATGCAGTAAACAACGTTCGTCTAAAGAATTTTTTTATGCTGCAATAAACGACACTTGTTAAAGTGTATGTTCTTGTAAACATGCAAACGTTTGTTAAAAAAAAAAAAACAGAAAGAAAAACGAACGTCACTTTTCTTTAATTTTGCTTATGCAAACGTTGGCGTTTGTTTAAAATTAATAAAAACGAACGTATTACTTTAGCGTTTTTTTTTTCTAAATATATATGCGATTGATAGTTTTTTATTTAATATAAAAACACATATTTATAATAAATATAATATTTTTAAAATTACATTTTACAGTGCAGATTTCAAATTTGAATGAATTTGATGCTGTTTTGACTACTATTGAACTGCTATTTGATAAAGACAGACCTAAATTTTAGTTCAAATATTATACTAATTTAATTTATCCTAAACAAAGTGAAGAAAGAATATTTATGCAATTGTTTTTCAAGAAACGATGTATACCACAAGGTGACTCGTAACCTCAACGCCCAACACAAGGACATCTTGACCTTGATAAACATTTGATATAACTGATAAACAATTTAATAAAGAATAAAAGAAATCAAAGATTATTAAAATGTAAACTGCAATATTTTTATAAGGGAAATTTTAATCAATTTAACCTTATATAAAAATATAAAAAATAATAATGTTAGTCTTGCTCTAAACTAAGCAGTTTTTAGTCATTTTAAGGTCCATTTTTTTGTTTCAAATATGTCATTTGAGGGCAAGGAATGAGTGATTCAATGGCGTTCAAATTTTTTACGAGTTAGTTTAATCATATTTGCTTCAAATATAGATGGTTTGGTTTTTCAAATACCAAAAAATTTTTAATGTCTAAGAGATGGTTTCCAATAACAGTAACTATGTCAAACATGAGTTGTGCATTTAAATTTAAATGAATCGGTTTTGGTTAAAAGGGTGTAAGTCACAAAATACATTTTTTTAAAAATATAAAAAAACTTAATATCAAAAAAACTTATTAAAAAGATTTTTGAAAATTAATTTGAAAGTTAAAGTTACTGTTTTATAAAATTAGTAAAGTTTAATAAAGTTTTGTATTTTATTTTTAAACGACTCTTTAGAATTATTTTTGAACAAAAATATTTTAAACCATTTTTTCAGGTAGATTGACATGTGCTAAAAAGCGTTAAAAATGAATTTAACATTTAAACTTTTTTTAAGTTTTCCATCAAATTATTATTTTTTAATCAGAAGTTTACTAGTAGCATTTTTAAAGAGAATTTTAATATTCATTTTAATGAAGTATAAAAAAAAAGCGCAAAAACATGTTGCAATCTCCCCCATACATGACAAAAACCTATTTAGGATGCAAAAAATATATTTTCTCCACTGACACACACTTAACATGCATTAATCTCAAATTATACTCTTGCGTTGATAACACATGGGAGGGAAAGTTTTTTAAGTTTTATATAACTGTTCTACACACCCCATATAAGATCTCGCACCCTACTTTTTATTAATGTTTACTTTCTTTTAGAAAAAACAATTAGATCATCACGTGAAAAAACAAAGTTTCCAAATTATTCTTTCTAAATGTAATTATAGTAATTCCTAATTTGAAATAACTTTTGATTCTTAAGACCTTTTATAGGGTAGGTACATCGTAATAATTTTTTACTTTGTATGAGAGTGAAGAAAATTTAACTTACTTGTTGAAGACGTTTTAAAAGGAATTTCAAGCAAATAAAGAAAATAAACTTTTTATTAAAAACCATATGAAAGTGATTTCAAGATTTTTGTTAAATGGTTATAAAGATTATTTCAAAAACAAAACATTGAAAAAAACGCTGCAGTCTTTTTTTATAATATTTTATTTATGGAAAAAAAAAACGTACTTCGTTTAAGAAAAACTTATTTATGTTTTATTTTATACTTAATATATAACTTTGACTTTTGCAAAAAAAAAAAAAAAAAAAAAAAAAAAAAAAAAATATATATATATATATATATATATATATATATACTGTTGTATAATTGTATTCTTATATAACACTGGACACTGTGTGTACACCAGGGTATCTTTTTGATGCAGTATCCCTATGTGTTATCCCAAAAGGACATTTCTCAGGGTATCCCATCAGGACAATAATTTAATACACTACAACTTAAAAAAAAATATTTAAACTTTTTTCAAAAACTTGCCAAACGTTGTTAAACATACCAAATATAAAAATGCAAAGTACATCATTTAGAAAACAAAAGATATAAATCATTTGTTTTGTTTTTTATAAATCAAGTCAAATGATAAAATTATAAAACTGAAAAAAAACTTTAAAATTTAAATAAACAATTCTTTATTAATGTTTATTACAAAAGATTTAATTAAATTAAATTTTTTTTTTTATTTTATCAAAAATAAAGTAAAAATAACTATATATTTTATACATTATTGAACACCTGTATGGTTATTGAAAATAACTCACTATAATGCCACCAGGATTTTGAACTTACCCAAAATAGAATACAAAAAGATAGATTTTTCATTGGACTTTATTGAAGGATTCTTGAATAGATTCATTATAAATTGAATAAACTTTTTATAGGGACTTTTTGAAGGATTCAGATTAACAAGAAACTTTAATAAACTATTTTGACTAGCATTAGATAATCCACAAATCATCGATAAACAACTCTTCAACTTTTCATTGGTCATGATTTCATCACTACTTAAACAATTATAAGCATATACAGATGCACAAAATTCCATTATTGTCAAATGTGCAAACTGATAATAACATCCCAGATTCGTTTCAAACCTTTCTATAAATCCAAAAAAATTTTCATTTTTATCAAAATCACCAATAAAAGTTTGAAGTTCTTCTTTTGAAAAAATTATTTTATTTACAACAAACAATTCATATGCAATTTTACAAATATTTAAAATATATGTTTTATTAGAATCGTTTTCCATTATCTGATAAATCATTTCATTGTTTTTAATGATGTGTTTTTGTAAAAAGTATAAAAAAATGTTTGCATACAAATCTGTCATTGTTAAGAAAGATATTGTACTTATTTCTTTTGAATCACTTATAATTTTACACATAGAAGATAAATAAAAAGGAACAGATGCCATAGCTTTTGCAATTGGAGATTCCTTTAAAGTTGCTTTTACAATTCCTTTTTTTTCTTCCTTTACATGATTTTCTACATAATTCGCTATTCCATTTTTGTTAAACCCCATTATTTGAATGGTTAACTTATCACTATGATCTGTATAAATACTTTGGTATTGATCAATTGCATAAACTCTACCAGCAACTAAATGTTTATAGTTTTGAATTTCTGCTAAAACATTAACAATTGGATATTTACATTTTAAATTTGGATTTGATAACTCATTGAAATATTTAAACTCATCTAACCCATCAATTAGAAACAGTGCAGTGGTAATACTAATATTTAAGTTACTTATAATATCTTTGTAGAAAACGCTTAGTAAATCATTTATACTAAAAATATTTTCATATTGATTAATCCTCCTGCATTCTAAATAAAAAACAAGTTCAACATTTTTCCAAATTAAATCATTTGACCAATCAAGCAAACATTTTCTAAGCAACCATGTTTTCCCAATACCAGCAATTCCAGATACTAATATTACAGATTTTTCGTTCATAAATAGTTCACTATATGGAATTGGTGTATAACGCATTTGCTTTTCAAGAAATTCTTTTCGTTCAACACTAAAAACAGCATCCATTTGTGGTTTTGCTGCATCAACAATACATAGATCAACGAATTTATTCATAAGATCAACATTTGCAGGTGCTTTTAATAGTGGTTGAAGTTCACTAATTTTCCCACAATATTTAAGATAAAATTGTTTAAGTTCAGCAGACATTCTTGACAAATCTAAAAACAAAACAATGTTTAGTAAAGCCATCATTATGATTTTACTGATATTCATGCTCATGACAATGACATTCATTATTACTATAACTTTATATAAACATAAAATAGCAATAAATATGTACTTGACATAAAATTTTATAGAAAAATTAAGGAATCTAAAAAATTCTTGTTAATTTGATTTTTATTGATTTAAGAATTAAGTTTTGTAGAAATAAATTTATCATTTATAACAAACCTTTTTATTTGAAAAAGTTTTTGCTTAAAGTTATTACTTCAAACAAAATCATCAACTGATTTTCAAAAACTTTAAAAAAAAACTATGACACTTTCGTTAAAATTATTAATAAAGAAAAAATATTTTTATTTGAAATTTATTAAAGGTTAAAGTTAAAAAACTTAACAAAGTTAACAAACTTTTTTTTTTCTTAAAGTTTGAAGTCTTTTCAAAACAATAACATCAAAAAATAATGTAAAAGTAAAGTACTAAAAATTCCTAACATAAAAATTCTAGTGAGTAAATAAGTAAAATTATTTTTATTAGTTTGAATTTTAATAATAGTAATTAAAATTAAAGTGAAAAACATTGAGATGTTTTTCACTTGTGATGTGCTCTCATTTCTAGTTTCTGCAGCAACTAATAAACTATGCATTAATGACAACAGCAGCAAAGTTCGACTTTATTAAGATTTACTACTTGAGTTAGGAAAATGAACTAAGGGTTTGTTTGTTTTCACACGCAATCGGATCATAGTCTAATAAGTGACATAATGAAAATAGTGAAAAATAGAAAATATGTAACCCTAATGGTTAGAACTCTGAATCCTCTGTTTGTAATGCAAAACCTTATTTCCAAAATTTATTGATCACACTCTTCTTGTTATTTAAATAAACAGGTTACTAATAGAGATACTCACCATTCCTCATTATTAACTGCAATAAGTGAAATCATTCTTTCTTCTGTTGCTATAAAAATAGTTATTATTCACTATAACTCCTCGGCAGCTTAAAGTCTGGACAGCATTGTGAATGATTTTAAAGATTAAACTAACTTTAGAATATGTCGATTAATTTTATGCAAAGTTAATGATTGATAGCAGAAGGAGAGAGTCTGAAGGAGAAGAAGCTAAAGTATAGCTACAAATTTTTTAATAATTATAATTTTTAAGTTATTCTGTTTTTTTCAGAACTAAATAATAACTATATAAATGATAAGAAAAATTTAAAAGTATTAAATAACAAAAAAGTTTAAAACATAAATAATTTTGAAGACTTAATTATATACAATTTGTCGTTCTGGGAATAAAATAAACACATATACAACTGTTTGCCTACACCATAAATACATTCACTTGAAGTATTAATCCACATTCCACATAACTTGCTGTGATTTATTTAATTAACAAATGTCTGGTGTTGAAGGGTCTGGTGCTACCTCTAAAAATATTTTTTAGTGAGAAATTTTTTTATAACCCAGTATTATTTTATTAAATCGAAAAAATAAAGGGTATTGATATAACCTATACTTTTTACTCTAATAAAATAATACCTACCCAATAATATACCCTACACTGCTCTTTTTTATGTTTTCAGTTAAGCTTAATTTTGTATTAGACTTTACTTTTTTTAAGCACACTTTTCAGCAGGTTTACATGAAACTGTTAAAAATGAATATAAAAACTTAACCTTTTGTTTTGATATTTTTTCTAAAAATTGTCCTTTAGGGGTCCTTTTTTTTTTACTTGTAAACTTATTTTTTAAGTTGTAAACTAATGACTAATGACAATAAAATTTGATAAAATAATGACTAATGACAATAAAATTTGATAAAATAATGACTAATGACAATAAAATTTGATAAAATAATGACTAATGACAATAAAATTTGATAAAATAATGACTAATGACAATAAAATTTGATAAAATAATGACTAATGACAATAAAAATTGATAAAATAATGACTAAAGACAATAAAATTTGATAAAATAATGACTATCGACAATAAAATTTGATAAAATAATGACTAACGACAATAAAATTTGATAAAATAATGACTAATGACAATAAAATATTGAGAAATTAGTCTCAATAATCTTAATCTGTTCCTTAATCTTAATTTGATGAACAATGCAAAATCAAAAACTTTTTTCTTCTAAAATAAAAAGGTATGACGGAAAATACTTGTGTTGCTATAGTGATGGCCCAATGGATAAGGAGGAGATTAAATGACCTTTAGATCACTAGCAGTTTAATTCAAAGACTTGATAGTAAACCTCCTATACAGATTCAATGTTATTGAAATTTTACAAATCAAATGTTGTGAAAATGATACAATCAAACAATTACAATGCCTGCTACATATAAAACTGACTGCAGAAATTATCAACATAAATTCACCATTTGAATACTATATTTATGAACATCATGTAAAATTATTGATCTCCTTTCTTTCGTAATAAAAATATGAACAAGTTTTAAGAAAATAAAAGGAAACTGTTAACAGACATGGCTTTAATGGTGGTGGTTTTGACAGACCTAACAAAGCCAAAGTTTTAAGATCTTTGGACATAATTAAAAAAAAAAAATTGTTTTTAAACTGACCAGAATACCAGTCTACATTTCATTAAGAGACAAAAATATGTTAATACTCTTAATTTAGCAAGTTATTACTTCGTTAACTTTTGTTTGTTTTCGTTGCTGATTGCTGTTTTGAGATGAAACTTGATAGATCCTACACAGAGAAAATCAATTAGTTTGCTCTGTCCATGCTTCACTTAAAAATAGATGAACATGATGTATTCATAAAAAAGATTTCACTAGGAATGGAAGATTTCACTTGGATGAAAGTTTCACATAATCAGGTTTTATATCAAGGATCATGATAGGAAGAAGATCTTGCTTGCTGTTATATCAGTACAAACATCTGTAGTAATGCATAAAATTCTTAAAAAAAGACACAGAACAATTTGTTGTGTCCATACAATTGTAAAAAGAACTTACAAGAATATATTTAGATTGTAAAAATACAATATGAATGTTTTTCTATCGTGAAGAAAATATTTTGCTCTCATTTTTGATATGAAGAAAACTGCTACTATTATTTATAAATAAGCCCTTTTGAAGGAAACTCAGCAATTGGAACACAAAGGCAGAAATAGTTATAAACAACCTCCACTGGATCCAATTAAAATAAAAAAAAACTTGAATCCAATAATTAATTAAAATTTGCTTTTAAATTTTATTAAATATATATGGCACTCAAATATTATATATTATGGCACTCAAAAAAAAATGCCCCATGAAGTTGAGGATCCCCTCATTTGGCAAAAGTTTTTAATTTTTAGAAAAAAAGGTAAAAAAAGAAAGAAGGATGCAGTTTTTAAATTTGTTTTCAATGGTTTTTATTTCATGTGAACATGCTGAATAAAAAGTGATTAAAAAAAAATTTAAAATTACTTTAATTATGAAACTCTAAATTCCATTTGACATAAAGTAGCTCCTAGATAGTGATCAGTTCAAGCAAATAATAAATTACCTTACATTCACAGATTGGAAATTCTTCCAAACTAAATGCAGAAATTACCGAAATGAAAATTCATTGTAATTGTCAGAAATTGTAAACATCAATAAGAAAAAAAACTAGAATATAACCAACTTTAAACTACAGGCAATCATAAAGATAGCAAGGATGCAACCTTGACGAGCAATGCTAGCCATTTTTATCAGGCTCTCTGAAACATCATTGGTGAATATATTGTGGCCTTTAGGATGGTGTTTCACCATCCTCAGGGCCACAGGACCATTTCGCTATAAATACATTTTGGTTCTCATGAAAAAACAATATTTAGCAACTACTACTCAGGTATTACAACAGCTTATTTCTATCCGGTACATTAATTTTCAATTCACATATGATGTTTTTTTTTGTAATTACTTATTTGTTACATTTTTAACTTCAGATTTATAGTGGTTTTATTTGCTATAGAAGAACAAATCATTTTGAATTTTTTAAAAATATCTACTCCAGTCAACATTTAAAGTTCAATGTTACATATATCATTTTTAAGTAGCGTCTAGGCTTTTTTGATGCTTTTCTTATTCAAGTGGTTTTATAAGCTTTCAAAGAGAATCAATGTTGTTCTCTGTTTAATTTAATTTGTTTAAATAGAGTAGTTTTAATAAATATTTGTTTGTTCTTGGTTTTTTACTTATTTGTTTTCAGATTCTTAAGAACTAGGCAACTTAGCAAAGCAAGATTTATTTTATTTTTAAGTGCAAATAGAAAGAGCTAAAGTGCTTTTTAGTCACTTCAAATCATATTTCTTTTTTTAAATAGAAGGGTTAATAATAAAAATATTTAGACTGTTACTGATTTGTGTAAGTTTAATGTTTTGTTTTATTTTATATTAGATATATATTTTTTATGTTTTTAACATGGAAAACTGACTGTAATTTTTGACAGGTAAGTTTATATACATAAATGTGCCTATATTTCAGAATATTTTATATTTCTTTGAATCTATATAATAATTATCTCATAGAAAAATTTTAAAAAGAATGGAAAAAAGTTGAATATATATACATACATACATACATATATATATATATATATATATATATATATATATATATATATATATATATATATATATATATATATATATATATATATATATATATATATATATATATATAAATATATACATATATATATATATATATATATATATATAAATATATACATATATATATATATATATATATATATATATATATATATATATATATATATATATATATATATATATATATATATATATATATATATATATATATATATATATATATATATATATATATATATACTCTTGCATGGTAGTTAAAAAGAGTTTCCCATAAACTGTAGTTTTAAAGAGCGCGTTAATAAACCGGACCAGAAAAAGTTTAAAAACTTAATTTTTTTTTTTTTTTTAAATGATAGACTGCCTGCCCAAACCAAACC